CGGTGGCGGCGAGGGCAGAGGCCACGGCGTAGCGCTTCTGGTTCACGTTCACGTGGCGGTGCCTGCCCAGGGAAACCAGGGGGGGGGGNTGGCGACAACACGACCCTCTTGAAGAGGCTCGACAGGAACCCGCTGTGGGTTACCTAGAATGCAGAAGTCGGGGGGGGGGGGGGGGGGGGGGGGGGGGTTGGGGGGTTGGATCGTGCCTTCACGGATGACGAACCAGAGGCTGAACGACAAGTAGGTCAACCATTACGTAAGCACCCATTAGGCCAGACGACAACCGCAGCCGCGGGTTGACGGTAATATCGATACTCTGCCCGACGGCAAGGTGTTTTTTTATTGCCATCGTCCGCTTGGCTTTGGCTTTCGGGCGGTTATTCCAACCACCAACGAGGGACTCATCACCTCACTCGATCGCGTTGGCAAGAGGGAGTTACTTCTTGAACCCTCAGTGAAAGCGCTGACGTTGAATCACGAATACTGTTGTGGTCGTTACATGACAGGTGCCGAGAGCACGAACCGCCGAACCATGGCAGCTCAATTCAGCTAGCCCTTGCTGGGCAGGCACTCAAACCACGAGTCTGTAACCCGATACAGGAGTTGGAGAGGATGTAGTCTACTAGTACGATTAGGAGATCTGAGACAGGTTTTGTCCATACTGCAAGACGTGCAATAGCCGGCACAACGAACGAATGCCATGGGAACACACGACAGTGGAAATTTTGCACCCGCAAAGCATACCAAGGCACGCATTACCACATGCCTTCTAGTATGTGCCAAAAAAACATAAAAACGAGAGGTACCGCGTGGGCTCGCGGATCACGTTGATTCGTAGAATGCAGAGAGAGAACACAATCTTCTTTTGTCACAGGGAGTCAAGGCGACACAAGACTCACCTCAACACATGAGACCCACTTGCATTGGGTTGATGATCCGCATTCAGACATACCCGCTGCTGGACAGCATCCCGTCGCCACAGCGACGGGGGTGGAAATCAACTCAAGGTCTACCGCACGTCATGTGTGGGGCGTTCTTGTCGCCGTGAACATGACCAAACTACGGAAAAAACAGAAAAGACCGCACACCTACCGGCGCAATGGGCTACAGTAGCCCCCACTTCAACTTCAAAACCATCCAGTACAGCGGGATCGTGGATATGGAACGTACACAGTTCTACATAAATAGCAATTTTTCTCCGCCTTTTACGAGTACCCATGGTGCGGACAATTTGTCGCCATAATCGGGGGGGCTGCCTACGCACAGAACGTAACGGTATTTACGAAAAAATACAGAGAGGGGGCACGTAGACTCTTGCCCTAACTTTAGTCGGTTCTACACTTTATCCACCATATTTATGTATGGAACTTGTGAATCGAGGACGACTGTTGTTATGCAACAACCTCACCAGCGACGCCAGATCTTCGTGGGGGAAAACATGCGCCCTCCGCGGCACATGTTACCGAAAGCACCCTGTCCGGCACGCTGAGTTCCGCCGCCCTGGACACGCGGGATACGCGACACGGCGCGACCCGTTCCCCAAGACTCGGCCGAGGTCTACCGTAACGGGCGTGCGAAGCAGGGGTGCGCGAAATGACAGCAACAGCAGTTAGATACAAGGGGATGCTGGAAGGTTCATTGATAAGTTAAGTGGATGGGATGCCGGAAGGTTCATTGCCAAGTTGAGTGGATTCCCAGCTCGCGAATGAGGGGCCAGCTTCGGAGGTACTTGACTGCTGTTGGCCATGCTCATAAGAGAGCTAAGCGGTTCGTTTTGTTCATGCGATGTGATACTGCTTGTACATGTCCTGTAAAACCAAGAAGTAATAAAACTGACATGCCAGAGTATCGAATGTCGAGGTTATGATTCAAGCCGGGACGCGTGCACTCCCGCTCCGACACGATCTTTGCTCGCTTAATTTCACTACGTCCACTGCGTTCCATGTTGCCGTCTGTGTACAGCGGTAAATAGCACAAGTGCATCTACCGCAGTACAGGCAGCCAGTGACCGCAGTCTTGTATGGTAGGGTGTCTGCCGTCTACCGTGTTATGCATGCAGCAGCCACTAGTTCCGCATTCCGCATGATCGATTTCTTTCTTCTGTCAGGGCAACGCGCCCTCGTTATCAACTACTTCTACATGGGTGGGGCTTTCTTTCTATGCTGCTCGTGGGAAAACCAACGTGAGGCAGCAGTGTGGCGAAAGGGGAGAACACTAGCAAGCGATGACTGCGATCTACGCAGTGGTCGTGATTGGTGAGGTTGATGGCCTTGACAAAAACAGGGACAGCATCATTGAGTCAAGGGGCCGCACCTAATGATGCGTAATAGAGTTGTTGCCACTGTATTTTTAGTCAGCCAACCCAGGATACCAGGATTGACAAAGCGGGGTCAGAGACGGTACAACACGTCCACGCTGTGCGTATCCTCACAAGATGGCAACAAAATCATGGGTACTACGATGGCCACGGTGATAACGCAAGGCAGAACGGCACAACAGATATGCTAGGATGCAGCAGCAACTGCCCACACCGACGTGTGGTTGTCCCCCTGCTGGCGCGTCGCGCCAATGCCTGGAAAACAGCAAAGAGACACAACACGACAAGACAGATAGATGCATCAACACAAAGAGTAACCACGTCGACAAACAGCTCTCTCCCTCTCCCTGCTGTCATCTTCTGTTTGTTCAGCGTACCTGGTGACCGGCGCGCTTGGACACGGCGTAAGGCTGGCGGTGGTTCTTGGCCATGTTGGTGTGCACGAAGTTCACGACATCGGGCCGGATGGGCACCGTGAACACGGCGGGGAGGGTAGTTGACTCCTGGGCCACTCCCTCCTGAGAGAAGACGGATACTACGGGGCGGGCCGACATGGCTGGGGTTGGGGGTGGGGTCGAGAAGGGCACTACCTTCTGCTAGTCCCAGACAAGATGAGCTCGAGGCGGCGCGAGAGCCATCCGAAAGCCATGCGGGGGGGGGTTCTATAGAAGGCATACATCAAGGGGAGTAGCAGATGCAAGGGGCTCCGGGATATGCGAGTTCAACAGACATGGTAAGCGGTGATGAAACGGTCATTTATTATTTTCGCTCCCCCGACGAAGTCGAGGAATTTTACGAGACACAACAAATAATCACGACTTGCAGCAGAGCGCCAAGAGACCGGTGTCTCTCATGTTCCGAAAACGACGATGGGTGCAGAGGATACCCACCGTGTTTCGGCAGCTAACGCCCATGGGCGAGGAACACTGCCCAGAACACAGCAATATATGCGTAGGCATCACAACTAAGAGGGGTAACGGTACATAGGTTACTGCTGTTGGCATGGCACTGGGTCATGCAGAGGGGAAAGAGCAAGAGGAGAAGAATGTCTACAGCAGCAGCAGCAGCAGTGATGAGGATGGCTCTGTTTCTTCTGATAGCTCCGATGACGATGATGGCTCTTCTTCAAGCGGATCGAGCTTCTCAAGGTCTTCGTCGTCTGATAGCGGCAGCGACGATGGCGACGACAGGGAGGAGGGGTCTGAGGACGAGAACTTCGAACTCGGCTTCTGGGATTCACTCAGGGCGGTGCTGCCGTGGACAGAAATTGGCGCGAAGGCAAGAGAGAATAGCAACGCTGTGCTGGCTTTGCATTGGGATGCCGCGTGCACCCACATAGACTATATATTTTTCCATATCTGGCGTATCAGCGAGTGTCTGCATCTCGCGACCATTTTCATCAACCAACTATTAGACTGTAGATACTAGGCTCCTCGGCTTTCATCGGCCAGGACAAGCTTGATTGATTCCAGCAACACTTGGAGCGATTTTCTTTACCGTAGCACGCCATTGATGGAAAATCCAACACGCGGACATAGCGGACAGCAAAAGTCCACATGTCTATTGAGATATTGTGGTTGTTCGTTGGATGTGTGTATTGTGACCCCTGGTGTCAGTGCTTCTTCTTCATTGTCCTCAAACCGAGCAACGAAAAATTGCCGTAAATAGAGCAAACGGCACTGCGCTTACGTCAAATCGTCTCGTCATGAGCGCGCGACGCTCGAGGATTCTCGTCGTGGTGCGTTGGAGAAAGGGCGGTCCTAGCCGGGTCCGCACGTACTTGTACATGTACGTCGTACGATAAAATTGAACGATAAACGGGTCAACTCCATACATGTCATGTCGAAGAGAAGATCATACCAATGTTTCTCAAGCCACCATTGAATGATACGGAGTAACTTGACTGTTCCCCGTCTTATTCTCACTTCACCTCCCACTTGTTCTGCCGCTCCCAGCTGTGTTTTGTATCAGATTGCATGGGTTCGTCTCAAATGCCCCCGCATTGGAATTTTTAGCATGATCCAAACAACCGAAAACACCTACTCCTTTGATACTCAAACATGGGACGTGCTACCCAACCCAATTTCATTTACACTGATAGACAAGCATTGACTCGAACGACTGCTGTCTTGTGCGCTTGGAGGGTAAACCTGTCCCAAGCTCTGATGTCTATCGCGCCGAGAAAGTGTTGCACGTTTTGTGACCGCACGGAAACACATCAGACAAAAGCCACAACTTTCGCATCTCTCCGGCCAAGTCACCTCCAAGCCATGTGAAAACGGTCGCTATCCGTGCTGTTCCGTTGTGTATGTGGTTCATTCTCTCGACGTGCCCATACGCCAGGCCGACTACGCAGAAGAGCGTCTGGATGCTCACCACGAGTTTCAGGAGGAGCTGGACGAAGCTCTCCGGATCCGGAAAATGGTCGAAACTGGCCTGCACGACATGGCCTTGGACCGGCTCATGGCGAGCACAGAGGCAAGGGTGCACTTCCGATATATTTTTCGCCGAACACGCTCCTTTGTAATGATCTTCTGCGAGAATGCCGAAAACGCCGCAATTTTCTTCATGCAATGTGTGGCATATCAACCGACAATCATACAGTACTGGCACTTATCTACGCGTTGAAAGCTCCTGCTACCAATCGCCATGCCTCGATACCCCCCTCTCGGGACAGGGTCAAATGTACCACCACTTCCACAAGCACCGCTACCAGCTGGAGCAGACCGGGGAGTGGTCCTTCGTTCCCCCTTCGGTGAAGCGACGATGGAGACATGCCGCCAAGAAAACTGACAAGGTGGAGAAGCTGCGAGCGTACATGGCCATGCGAAGGGACAGGTTTCTGCAAATAAGGTGATGTCGGCGGGAGCAAGTTTGCTTTTTTTGCCGTGCTTCCCGTTCCGATTCATGGAAAAACTGCATGCCGGAGTATTAGCTACCCTCACGTTACCTCTGCACTGTCGAAGGGCTACTTGAACATCGCCATTGCTTCTACATCCTCTCTAACAAGACCCGATTCATGCCCATCATTGTCGAGGGGTTGAAATCTATCCAATTAGTACGCCCGGAGAATACATCTTCAAGTCGGAGCCCTCTCCTCCCGAAGAAGCAAACCAACTAACACGCGCGAGACCGCCGCGAATCTTCTCAACCATGTGCACACCACACACATTTTGGAAACAGGGGTCTCTGCAGGCAGGTTAGGAACGCTCGTCTGAAGAGCAGCGATCTCTTGGTGACGGTAGAGCCGGAGAGTCTCATCGACGAAAACCTTCTCCAGGTCGCCGGCGGGGGCAAAAAAAGCAAACCTGCCAAACCTTTCGGTGGAGTCCGCCTGAAGAAGTGCCATTGGCAGAACGTCAGTGAGTGGCTCCCGCTGTCGCAACCGTGCCGGTCTTACGTGCTTGTCGACGGGCGTATTTTTGTAATCCTTACGCCAGACCGAACACGGACCGCATTGAGATGTTTGTTGCTATATAGTCGCAGCACAACATCCGTTTCATGTCTGGCCACGGGCAGGACAAGGTATCTACAAATCGAGCTACTGCCGTTGTTACCTGTGACTGAACGAAGCGCTTTGGCGCCGAGAAGTTCTAAACACTGTTGCCAACACTACGAGAAGTTCATGACTGTGTTGTTTATCGTGCCACAAACTTGGATCCAACTCCGCATCTCTTGTCCACATGCGTCGTTTGAAGACTCGAAGGGGGAGCGGTGCTTCTGTACCAACAATCGCATGGTACACCCGCACCGGCTCTTCAAAGACGAGTTTGGCGTACTGGTAAGGGGGTTGGCAGGATAACGGCGTTCAGATGTGCGGCTTGACGTGGCAGGCAAGACCTCCGAAAACAATGTGCACTGTTTGATCCCTGCGGCATACCACCCTTCGCGTGCGGTTGTGGCTCTCCGCTTCCTACGGAAGTGCTTGGAACGGTCTTCCTCAACTACAATAACCACACAGCGAAGAGCAAGTCGACGCCCTCGATTGAACGTAGCGTAACGGCTGTACCGGCATGCCAGCAGCGGTGCAGTGGTGCTCGCCACGACAGGTCTGTTTCAGCAGATGGCGCGCTTCCAGTGATGGGACTCCTTGCTTGCCATTTCAGATCCACGACACCCTGGCGACCTGCGGCTGGCACGCGACTCGCTGCGTGTCCAACACACACGGAGATGATCCGGTAGTGATCTCCACCGCGAACGAGGGCGCCTTGTGCAACGAATGTTTGGTCCAGGTGAGAGGAGCAGACGCTTTAGAGGACGCCAGTTGCCTCGGCACGACAGGATGTAGAATAACACAAACACCAGTTTCGACGTAAACATGACGTTATGGTGACGACCGTGTCCGCCAGTACCGTGTTCAGGGGGTATTTCGCCTCGGAGTATCGTGGTAGCCTCTGCAGCACTTCAAAGAGCGACCACTCCAGCACATCAGTGACGGAAGCAATACCCCCAGGGGAACAACCTTTGCCATGTGCTGGGAACGTCGAATACAGCTCTCATCGAGTTGCCAAGAATTGCACATGAAGTCACGGGGGAGAACATGGACGCTGGGAATGGTCAAGTCAAAGCCCGGGCGCGTTCTTGCATCAAACGTGTACTGCGGGGCATGACGATGTCCAGGCCCCCCATCACACCGCCCAGGAAGCTGCTCATGGTCACCCCTTGATATGCGCAAGCTGGCAAATGTTGAACAACGATATTCGTTGTCCGTACCTCTTGCAACCCGCTTTCCTGGCTCAGCTTACGAAAGGGCCTATCCGCAACACGACCGTGTTCGGCGCACCTGGGGTTCTCTTTAAGAACAAGCGCGTGGGGAGCGCTGACACGGACCCTGGGGCGGGCGGGGAGGAGTTCTTGGTGAGATGAGAGTAATAGACCGTAAGTAGGGTGAATAGTGTCCTCTGCCGTCGCTTAGTGTGATTTCATTGGCCAGCTCTGGCAAATTTGGGCTTGCCAATTCTATTTTGCTTGTACTGGCGGGCGTAGTGTTTGGCCTTCGCGAGAATCCACGTGCTCGTCCTAGCCAGAGGAATTCCTGGTCCTCTCTTCACTTCTCTCGATATTATGTCCCTAGAACTGGAAAAGTAATAATACCCAAAACAAAAACAAAAGACACCCAACCTATTCATATCGTGACGACTTGGTCGATCACTGACCTCCTCCCACCCCCGCTTTCACGCCTGGTCCGCCCAGATGAACTAGTGAAGTTACCTTCACCCTACAACAAAAACGTTCGGTCTTTGTTTTCCAATCGGCACCCCCGTACGCACACCATTCCTCCCATTTATCCTTCAGGCGTGGAATAAGTGGTTCATCAAGGGCCCCGGGCGAGCCCGCAAGAGCGCCATCCGTACTCGACACCCGCAAGCGCCGTCGGGGTTGCCGCCCGCGGGCCTGCGCCCCCCTACCGCGTTTGTGCCCCCCCCGCCACCACCGCCGGTATTTTCGATGGCCAACTTTAGGCGTCAGCAAAAACTGGCACAATGGAGGGTGAGAAAGGCCAGAATGGCACGTACTCTCGGATAGGTTCCGCGGCATGGTAGCGACTGATGTGTGGAAGTTCGTTTGGGGCAGGGTGGGGCGGCTCTTGGTCGCATTCAGGTGCTCATTTTTGATACTAAAGCGAGGAAGGTTCCCGTGCGACATGTATTGTTGAATGGGAATACACTTTGTCGGGTGATGCAGATGAGTTTTCAACGGTAGTCCCATGGAAGGACCCGCCCTTGGTTCTGGCAGAAAGCGTTTGACTCGGACCTCCCCTCCCTCTATCCCCGCTCTGCGGGATCGCGCTGTTTTCGCTGGTTTCCGCCAGCTGCAAAAGGAGAAAAAGGGAGAGCGGGCGGCGAGAGCTGTGCAGAGAACCTATCGTGGCTACCGCGCGAGGCAAGCGAACTGCCCTTCCCCATACAAGCATTCATGTTCAGAGTTGCCGAAGAAGGGTATGCTTAACCCGTATCACCTGTTCTTGAGGGGTGTAAGTCCTGCCCCCAATTCTCGACACTGTGGAACGCGATCTCACCAACTTTCAGAAGCTACGTACGGCTGCGACACAAGCAAAGCATTTTGTCATGGTCGGCCGCAGGTTCCACCAAAGAAACCGTAGGTGAATGAAGCGCTGACGATATCTTTCTATCGACAACAGTTCCTGAACGCAAATCCGTGGGCAACGTTTTGGCGTGTGACATGCAGGACGAGGTGGCAGTGAGAAAACTCTCGGCGTGAAGCTGATGTCGTTTCGGGGCTCTTGTTATCAGCTGCCGGTAGTAGAGCCCTTGACTATATCCACTATAATCTAGATGATTTCACTGCTGTGTAGTGCACACATCTTCGTGCGGAGAGCCCATGGACGCGAAAGGCCTTTTGGAAAATAGTCATCATGTGCTCCGTGCATGAACGCTTCATTTATTATTGGTGTATCCCATCGTGTTTTGCTTCATGTGCAGGCACCTGAGGGCCATGGTGGCACTGGAGCACCCCTTGAGGGCTCTGCTTCGCGTCGAGTCGGCGATCGTGATGCAGTCCCTGGTCCGCCGGTTCCTGGCGAGAACTCTCGTGCGACAGGCGAGCCCGCATGAATTCATACAATAAGGCGGAATACCTGAATCACCGAAGGGGGCCCCCGGTTGTGTTTCTTGCGGGAACGAGGGCAAATCGATTACCAGAAAATAGATGCCGTTCTTGTGCCTTCACGGAACGGAAATATCAGGAAGCTAGAGTGCCAACATACAATCTTTGTTGTGCAATACAGCAGGCCATCAATCGCAGCCTGTCAGCTCCCTCCTTTCTTTCCGTTTCCAACGTACAACGTGGTTCTCGGGGCTAGCTTGCCCATTGCAAAGCTCGCGCGCTCGATCGACGCCTGCTTGTCGACGGAAAATCACGATGCGGGGATCGTATCGTACCATTTTCGTGCATGATATTGGATCCCCCCCCCTCCCCATCCTTATCCGAGGCCACGCGCCCCTCCCCCCCCCCCAACGCTGCCACCTGCGCCGTAGATCTCGGCCTTCCGTAACATGAACGCCACGGCGATCCAAAAAATGGCCAGAGGCATGCAGGCTAGAGCCCTCTTCCGGAGAAAGCGAGCACAGGTCATGGTGCAGCGGCAGATGCTCTTCTTCCTCGCCAGAGCCTACGTCGCCTCCGTCAAGGTGGCGAGGAAGATCCGCGAGGAAATGCGCAAGAAAAACGTGAGCAATGGCTGGGGGTATACCTTTTTGCAGGCGTCCGTCACTTTGCGCGAGATGACGTTGGCGGTCGAGGATGTAGTTGCGGCAGTCGGCGGGGGGGTGGGCCGAGGGCGGCAGCGTGCCTGGGGGATTTTTTCGGGCAACCAAGTCATGGTCAACGTAAGGGAGGTTCTGCTTTTCAATTACCGACTTCTTGGAGCGCAGAAATGCAGGGTCGAGATAGTCAGTCGCTGCACGAAGGACGAACCGCACTGTTGACATCATGCCATCAGCGAGGAAAGGTCATCGACTACATGTAGATTCCGGATTAACCTTTATCTACCAATTTAGTAGTCTCGTGTGCTGTTCAAGCCAAGGGTAAGTGGTGGTGGCGCATTCGTCCTGCGCGTGTTTGTCGGTGTTTCAGGCTGTCGCACTCAGTTTTCAGCGAGCTTGGAGGGGGAAGAAAGGGAGGGAGAAGGCGGCGATGCTACGGGCGATGAGCGTGAGAAGGCACGGAGCGGTGATCACGATTCAGAAATTGTGAGTTTTCACAACTACAACGCACAAGCTCTTTGCGGTCGTACGCATGCAACATCACACGCACCATTCAGTTGCAAGGACAGAGCACCACGAGTGAGGTCGTGCAATCAGGTTGCCAATAGGCGTGTGTGTGCGTGAGAGAACAACCCTCATTGAAACGGAAGAGGAACGAAACGCTAGCAGATTGCGGCGCGTTCGAAATGTAAGAAACAACATGACCGCCCACGCGCGCGCGCAAATGACGCTACTCCTGCCCGAGGGTTCATCTATTTCGCCATGGTCATACCAAGTTTGATCGTGGGCTCTGTCTACCCAACAACTCTTGTCTCGACACTCGACATTTCTCCACGTTTGAGCTTCAATCTTGGGCGTTGGACTCAGATTGCCTGGCCATGCGCTTGTGCATCATGTCATGCCCGACTACCAGGAACTGCGTAGCCATCTGTCAAAATAGGCATGATTTTGACAGACACAACCTGTTCACTTGTCCCTTCACACGCGCTGGGCACTTCCCACCTGGGGACCGCAACAAAGTTGGAGGTGTTATGTGGCGAGGCAAGAACTTGGGACGCGGCGAGTGGCCCACCGGCGGGAGGTTAGGGCGGCGGTCGCGATGCAGAGCACCATAAGAATGTTCGCCGATAGGTGAGTCTATCGGCGTAGAATATTGCCCCCAAGGAGAGAGCAGTTGCTGCCTTGAAGTTGTGCGGTCCAAGACAAAGAAATCGCCTCCAGGTTGTGACGTGAAGCAGAGGAGTTCTTTTTTGCTTGGGTTGTCGCGATACGGCCGGGATGCTTTGTTGCCGTGGCCCGCAGACCCCACGAACCCTTTGAGGCTCTGCTGGTCGTGTCCAACAAAGTATTGTAGCGGTCAGCGAAAATATTGCCGTCCATGTATACTGCATAAGCTTTGTGCGACAAGCCAGTTCACCTTCGTACTAATCCCCGTTTAGAGAGTGTGGGGAGCACGAAACTCCCCTACGGAGCACCATGTCTACTGCTAGCTTACGTGCTATCTTTCGGTGCCCACGATCGTCCCCGCAGACACACTTAAAAGAAGACGAGCGCAGGGTTTAACTCGCTTCATTCTCAGGACCACAGCTACCCTCCCCTTTTTCTGTGACTTTCCTGCGACGCTTTTTCTACAGGCGCCGCGCCCAGAAGATGCGGCGAGAATTCGATGGTGCCGTCCGAATTCTGCAGCCACTTGTCCGTGGGCTGCTGGCCAGGATAGCGGCCCGTAGGGAACGAGCGCTGCTAGGCCAGGTGATGCGGTGTGGTTGACCTTGACCGGTTATCTTGACGTTTTTTCAAGGCATGTCTGATGAAGGAGGTATGGTCAACTAGGTCGACCTGGCAAACGATGGACGAACGTGGCACCTACTGACGCCAACGGTAGAAGAGATGGGTGTTGGATTCCTGATGTCGGTTTTATGGAAGCTTTGTAAGGCCGACCGAGAAAGTCGAAAATGCGCAAGACACATATGTTCTGTACTTACTCATGGCACACCCCCAGCAGCCACATTCACTTGGGTGTTGCGCATGCTGTTTTGGTCTCCTCCCGGAATAAACAGGGGAGGGTATCAATAAGTATCAGCCTGTTGAGATGGCGAATTTTGTGGACAGGGTGAAAAGAGTACCAACCCCATTGATAGCCCGGTTAATCCATTATGACTGTGCCGATTCGCTGCCAGTATTGCCAGAACTCCCAACAGAAGAATCATCACTCCGACTCTGCAAACGTGTAGATAGTTCCCAATTGTCGTGCACTAGAAACAACATGCCAAATATAGCGATGCAGGCACCAAAGATAATTGTACCACCTTCGCGCCCGTATTACTATATCCTCTCTTCAACCTTCGCGTCGCGTTGTTACAGGTCTGGGGGTGGCTCGGAACGGACACCGCAACCGCCAACGGCATCTACGCCCGGTTTTTGCCCAAGAACAAGTACCTTATTTCCAGAGAAAACGTAGCCTTACAACAGTTCTCTGCGTCCCACCCCGCCAGCGGGCACATCGGTACGGGGAATGATAACGACTTACAGAAGGTGAATGCCGAGGTCAGGCAAGCAACAGCCTGGTGCAAGTGCATGTGCTGTCTGTACTTTGTCGTTCGACCTTCGCAGGTATGGAAAGATCGACACCAGCGGACAGCAGTCGTGTTTGTATATCTGTTCCTGTAGTTGCAGTCCCGATTGCCCTGGTGGACCGCGTTCGTGCGGGACCTCCGTGACTCACGCTAAGGGTGTTCGCTTCCATCCCGGCAATTGAATCACAAACCACGTCCCAGCCTGCTCACAACACCGCCCTGCCAAGTGTTGTGAACGTAGCTTGCAGCACGGATGCAGATTGGAAGCAGCTGACACCATGCTCGTTTCTCGTCGCATTGTAGGGGCTCGAACCCACCTCTTCTCTCGTTCGATCAACCCTGGAAGTACTGCCCGGGGAGAGACACTTCACGGAAAAGTTCGACAGGGACAAGACAGGCACCTGCTCCAAGGTCGAGTTCAAGATCGGTCTCGAGAGGTGGGTTTCCCTCGTAGCGGCGTTTTCGTGACAACGGTTCCAACAATGGCAAAAACGATAGTCTTTTCTTTTACATTGTTTCTCTTTTTTTACGGTAACCATGAATAGTGGTCGAGTAGCTTATGTTGTGCGGGGTCGAGAACCCTCACTCCGCGCAAAGGGGACAATCGCACCACGTGGTGTTACATTGGTCAAGCGCCTTCGAGGCAGTTACATACTGCTAATAAGTGTCTCTGAAAGGGAAAGCACCAGTACATAAATTGAGTCATACGCAGCTGTCATCCGTACGCAAGCAAGTAAGCACAAGATGCCGAACACCCCTAGCAGGATGCAGCGCACCCTTCCTGCAACTCGCCGAATACCTCACGGCGCTTCGCACTTTGTGATAAGAGAGCCTTGTCCGGTGAGAACCCGGCGTGCTTCGTGCCGGCTTTGTGCGGATGCGAGGTCAAAATGGTCTAACTACTACGGCATGCACGACCACGAGTAACCCCCCCCCCCCCCCCCCCCCCCCCCCCCCCCCCCCCCCCCCCC